TATATGGTGCTGCCACTATTGCAGTCTTTCTGCATTATCTTCCAGCTTTTTGACCTAACTCCTGGTGAATTAGAATGGCTAGCAAACCACATGGCCATGACATGAATATCCACAAGGATTTCTACTGCCTTTATCAGGGATGGTCCTGGCTTTTAAAAAGTTGTCGCCAAAAACATTGCCAACCAAAATATTTTGTCGCCAATTTTCAAAAAGTCTTGCCCAAATAAATAGTGATTATTTGTCCAAGTCTGTTAATGTAACATCCTTTGAAAATTGAAAAACATAGGATAGTTGTTACTTTATTGACAAACAATCAGTTCAGCTATAATCTTATAAAATAAATCATTACATGATGACTATTTTACATCTGAAGAAAAGCATTATCAAATGCAAAAATATCAACTTTGCTGACATCTACAGCGTATAGCTCATTTTTTGTTATTAAATTCCTTGTCCAATGTTATAGCTAGCTTCACAAAGTAGATCTCACTGAATGCAATGCTTTAGTTTTTTTTTTACGCAAACTTGAATCTCCATTCACAGCAATGAAACTTACAAGAGTCAACACCTAGCATAAATGTGCCATATATATAGGCATTAGTGACCATCATATCAATTCAGGAATAAAACAAAAGCACACCAGAACAAAAGTGCGTCGACATGCACTCTGCGAAAGATTTAAATAACAAAAAAAACATCGTTTTTAAAATAGTTTTCTGAGTACTTAGCCAATCATTCTTCTATGTAAAACCAAATATTATAAATAAGAAGAGATAACTGTAATTGTAACATGTTCAAATGGTTCAATTAACATTTACTGAGTTTATTACTCTAAATGCTAATGTTGTATGTTGTCCCGTTATATTTGGCCAATAACCGGCAGTCAGTTAAAGTTAATTATAATTATTTCATCTGAAAACATGAAAGTAAATTATTTTGATTTCAGGTTACAGTTAATTAGAATTGGAATGAGAATAATGGTCTTGGCTTCAGATTTTTGAATGCCACACACACTGTTTACTTTAACTTAATTTATACCTGCACAGTTTTGTTGGGTATGCTTTTGTCGAGGTTGTTCAGCATTGTGCTCATATGTCGGCACGCTTTTGTTATGGAACCATGAGTTTATAAGTTGTTATACAGTTTAACGCCATTTTCATCACAAGATACGCTATACATGGCAGCCAGTATTAATAGGGAAAGAAGAACCCTGGACAACCCCGGGAGGAACCACCGACCCACGAGAAGCTACTGGCAGGCTTTCTCACTTTAACAAAAGGAATTACGGTGGGATATAAAATGTAGAAAATAGTTTTTATATGTATGGTAGCTTGATACAAAATTTGAAAATACAAATGCATACCTCTTTTAGGCATTATTACTTATGACAGAAAAGAGTTTATTTGTCAATCATTTACTAGTGCTTCACTCACTGTAACAGGCGGTGTTTTTCAAGTATGTTACAGAGGTTCAAGTCTAACCTTTAGCTGCTGTATAAAATATGAAATGGGGGCACATTGGGAGGGGGAGGCAAATAACGCACTCCACAGGGAGAAATGGCATGTCGTTTTTGAAAATTTCATGTGTATTGAACCTGTAAAATCGAAGAATATTAGTGAAAATGATGCTTAAATATAAAAACTTCCTGATGGCAGGTTTAAATCTGCGTATTTTTGGTCTCATTCGTTTTGAGAAATAAATTATTCAATTATACAAAACTTGCTTGTGTTGATATTTCTTGTTGCATAGTTTAAGTCTGCAGACATAACAGGATTGAAGGCAAAAGTAAAAGATCAATGAGCAGGATTGCCATGAATGACATCTGGATGAGCAACTGTCTTCGATGAATTTGCATTAAATCCAAATGCTGTTAATTTTGTTAATTTACTTTTAGGTTGAGATGATGAACATGCAATGTCTAACTTGCCTTTACCCATGATAATGTTGCACTGCTGACAGTATAAAATTCTGATAGAGATTTTTTACCATTTGCTTGGTATTTATACACAGCAAATGGTACTTCAAAGGTGATCAATTTTCTCTCTAGGGTTGGCAAAACTATTTACTGGTATATTTTTAAAAAAAAACTGGGAAGGATTAGCTGTCATTCAATTACTTGTTTCCATTCCTGTCTTCATTAGTCAGTGGATTGTAGCTATCTAGCAATATGGTTCAAACTGTGAAGTCAACATTACCAGATTATGATTTAACATTGTACTGTACAGACAGGTTTGTCAATATGAACACGGGATTTGTTTATGTGAGAATATAGTTCCTTTCATGGTTTCATTGAATTTCTCAGCTCCAAATCCATGATCGTATGTACAAGTTAAACTGCCAAAAAAACTGCCAACTGGTATTTTTTGTCGCCAATAAGGAAAAAAATCGCAATTTGCAACATTGGCGAAGCACAGGACGATCCCTGCTTCATGATTCCACTGTAGAAATTGCACAAGTGAGTTGTCTGCTGCTTGCCATCAAATTGATTTAACATTGTACTGTACAGACAGGTTTGTCAATATGAACACGGGATTTGTTTATGTGGGAATATAGTTCCTTTCATGGTTTCATTGAATTTCTCAGCTCCAAATCCATGATCGTATGTACAAGTTAAACTGCCAAAAAGACTGTCGCCAAAAAAACTGCCAACTGGTATTTTTTGTCACCAATAAGGAAAAAAATCGCAATTTGCAACATTGGCGAAGCACAGGACGATCCCTGCTTCATGATTCCACTGTAGAAATTGCACAAGTGAGTTGTCTGCTGCTTGCCATCGACTCTGGTAATGCAGCTAAATTTCAAGATAAAAGATTGCAAGATATTGGAATAGATGGTATGATACATGACTGTCGTATTAGTCTGTACATATACATTTGGACTTTAATTCCTGTAAAGTGTTAACTAGTGAAATGTTGGTCTCTATAGAGACTTGTTCTCCAGAGGGCTGTTTCAAGTAACAATAGGGGTACAGGCGGAAAACACTAAACACCTTCATTTCTATGGTTGAAGGGCATTTGTTTCCCCCAAAGTTCATATAACCTTGATAAATTCTTGAATTTAAGGGGTTGTCAGACCTGCCAACTCTAATGATTATGCCATAAGACTTACTAAAATTGCCCTTACAATATAGACTTAGGCATGCAAGCAGAAACCACAGAAAAATGGTTGTTGCCAAAAAATCCAGATAATTGGTTCATCTGTATTTTATTTGGATCTGGGTTTCATATTAGAATGAAATTAGCTAGGGAACCAGACTAACTTTACAGCGGCACTGTAGACACTTTAAACTGCACCTATTTGTTTATGCGAAGGGTCTGCATGATCAAATTGTTAATTATAGAATTTTTTAAAAACGGCATCCCAAAAGTGATAGATGTTTTAGACAAAAAGGAAATAAACCTCTTGAAAAGATAATAACCAACACTGAAGAATAAAAAGAAATAATCAGAATTTTGAGAATTAAAGATGGAAATGACATCATGTGCCAATCTGAGTATGTCTCGTGGCAGGAGATTGATTGACTTGATTGACAGTCATCATATGAAATGGGAAAAGAATTTACAAGAATTACATCAGGTTGAGAGATGGCAACAAGCTAATGAGTTGCGTAGGGTTTGGAACTAAATTTTGTGCAACTGTACTAGCTGAAAAAAGGTCTATGTGTACTTTACAAACTTTTCAATTGAACATAATGTTGTCGTTTCTCAAACTTTTATTATATTTTTCAACTTTACAATAGCAGTTATTGATATTTATGCTGAAAAATGTTCAGTCTTACAGAAAAAAATCAGTTTCCTTACTGGGACAAACTTGTTGGGGCTGGTCTGTCTGAGTTGCCATGAAAAATTCTTTGAATTTTGAAACAGATTGATTTATCTTTTGTAAATCCTCAAATTTGTTGAAATCTTGGGGGTTTTTTTTGTTGTTGCGGAAATACAATATTGAATAGATCCAGTAGCAGTGCTTTAGTTTGTCAGATGGAGTCGTGTCCTTTGCTATAATAACTTGTTTGGATATTAATTATGTGTTTAATTATGTCTATTTTCTTTGACTCCAGTGTCTATTTATGCAATGAAATATGAAGAAAGTTACATTTAAATAAGGAAAAAAAAATCTTGAAAATTTTCATCAGTCTGGAAAATTCCTTGAACAAAAGCCCGCCAAGTCTGTAAGAACTGTTTTTTTTTTTTTTGTGGTAACTCTATAGGGGTTTCAATTAAAACTTGATTGGTGGTTGCTGTATGATGCAATACAAACCCAACACACCACTATATTTTCTGAATGACCTAAACTTAAATGGCATATAATATAAAATTGCTTTTGTTTTTCATGCCTAGATTTTGATGATGAGAATATAGACAATGAAGATAATGGCTTAATACAGGAGGATAAAGAGATAGTGAGAGTGAGGAAGATGTCAACAGAACATTGGCCACCGGTGGGAATATACAGGAGGATAATGAGATAGAAGTCGAGGATGAACTCTGCACAACTTTGGCCAGTGGTAGGAATATACAGGAGGATAATGAGATTGAGAGCGAGGATGAACTCTGCACAACATTGGCCAGTGGTAGGAATATACAGGAGGATGAAGATACTGACATTGAGAGTGAAGACGATCTCAACAAGACTCTTGCCATTGGTAGGAATATTTACATCAAATGTATTTGAAGTTATCATTAATAATACTGTCTCCAACTCCATTGGCAAGGGACACATATAAAAAACAAGAACCGACCTGTCTAAATTCATGAACTTTGTGGGTGTGTGCTTTAGATTTTTAACATAGCTTTAACAATTTTTCAGACATATCCATATGATGTCTGCAGTGTGACAGTTTATAGTGATGTCTAGCACTGGGACATCATGCTGCAGACACCTGGCATGATGTCCCACCCAGTCACATTATTTTGACACCAGGCTGACAAGTCCTAACACTGACCTTTTAATGTTTAACCCTAAGTGAGGGAGCAGTTAGTACCATTTATTAAGTCTTTGGTATGACCCGGTCAAGGTTCAAACCTGCAACCTCCCACATACGAGGCAGAACCTCTAACCACTAAGCTACCGGAATTCATGAACATTTGAAGATGAATATTTGTCATAATCTTCACCCAATAGCTAGGATTCCATTTGGAAGAGCTCAGTTTCTGCCAGAATATGTTGTAGGAAAATATTCTAAATTATGTTCGTTACTTCTGTTGCCACACTATAATTTGTGTATGCCTGTTTGTAGATATCAACATAAGCACCTAATTTGGAACAAGTTGATCATTCCATAGAAGCACTTTATTAATAAATTTGTTGCCATAGAAGACAACAGAGAGAAAATGATTTATTGTTTCATTTTATGACTGGTTTTGGTGGTAACCTATGATTCAAAATCAAAACAAAGAAATTGCAATATTTAAGTCAGCTTCATTTTATGATAGTTCTCTTTGATTCCAGAAAAAATAAGCACAATTTTACAATATATTAAGCTTGAATTTGAAAATAAAGAACTCATAAAAATTTTTGCTAAAATAATATCAGAGGATGACTTATGAAACTGTCCGAATAACTTTCTATTTACGTCAGCGATCCTCTTTTATGTTAAAAACATTTCTTACATTAGTTTTAAGGCCACTTTCCCAGGGATGGTGCTGGCTTTTAAAAAGTTGTTGCAAAAAAAAATGCCAACTGCAATATTTTGTTGCCAATTTTCAAAAAGGGTCGCCAAAATAGTGAATATTTTACCAAGTCTATTAATGTAATAATAGGCTATGAAAATTGAAAATTGGAAAACACGGGATAGTTGTTACTTTATTGACAACAATCAGTACAGCTATAATCTTATAAAATAAATCCTTACATGATGATGACTATTTTACATCTGAAAAAGCATTATTAATGTAAAAATATCAACTTAGCTGACATCTACAGCATCTAGTTCATTTTTTAATTAATTTCCCCCTCATGTTATAGCTAGCTTAACAAAGTAGATCTCACTGAATGCTGTAGAGTTTTATTTGATGCGCAAACTTGGATCTCCATTCCCACCAATGAAACTTACAAGAGTCAACACCTGGCATAAATGTACCATATATATAGGCATTAGTGACCATCATATCAATTCAGGAATAAAACAACAAAAGCACGCCAGAACAAAAAACATCAACATGCACCCTGCGAAAAATGTAAATAACAAGAAAAAACATTTTTTAAAAATGTTTTCTAAGTACTTAGCTAATCGTTCATCTATGTAAGACCAAATATTACAAATAAAAAGATATAATTGTAATTGTTAAAATGGTTCAACTAACATTTACTGGGTTTATTAATCTAAATGCTAATGTTGTATACGATCGCGTTGTATTTGGCAAATAACCGGCAGTCAGTTAAAGTTAATTATAATTATTTCATCTGAAAACATGAAAGTAAATTATTTTGATTTCAGGTTACAGTTAATTAGAATTGGAATGAGAATAATGGTCTTGGCTTCAGATTTTTGAATACCACACACACTGTTTACTTCAACTTAATTTATACCTGCATGGTTTTGTCGGGTATGCTTTTGTGGAGGTTGTTCAGCATTGTGCTCATATGTCGGCACGCTTTTGTTATGGAGCCACGAGTTTATAAGTTGTTATACGGTTTAACGCCATTTTCATCACAAGATAGGCTATACATGGCAGCCAGTATTAATGTTGGAAGAAGAACCCTGGAAAACCCCAGGAAGAACCATCAACCCACGAGAAGCTACTGGCAGGCTTTCTCACTTTAACAATAAGGAATTACGGTGGGATATAAAATGTAGAAAATAGTTCTCATATGTATAGTAGCTTGATACAAAATTGGAAAGAACAAATGCATACCCCTTTTGGGCATTATTAGTTATGACAGAAAAGGGTTTATTTGTCAATCAATTGCTAGTGCATCACTCACTGTAATGGCGGTGTCTTTGAAGTATGTTACAGAGGTTCAAGTCTAACCTTTAGCTGCTGTATAAAATATGAAATGGGGGGCACATTGGGAGGGGAAGGCAAATAACCCACTCCACAGGGAGAAATGGTCTGTTGTTTTTGAAAATTTCACGTGTATTGGACCTGTAAAATCGGAGAATATTAGTGAAAACGATGCTTAAATATAAAAACTTCCTGATGGCAGGTTCAAATCTGTGTATTTTTGGACTCAATCGTTTTTGAGAAATTATTCAGTTATGCAAAACTTATTTGTGTTGATATTTCTTGTTGCATGGTTTAAGTCTCTGCAGACAACAGGATTGAAGGCAAAAGTAAAAGATCAATGAGCAGGATTGCCAGGAATAACGTCTGGATGAGTGACTGTCTTCGAGGAATTTGCATTAAATCCGAATGCTGTTAACTTTGTTAATTTACTCCTTAAGGCTGAGATGATGAACATGCGATGTCTAACTTGCGTATACCCATGATAATGTTGCATTACTGACAGTATATAATTCTGATAGAGATTTTTTTCCATTTGCTTGGTATTTATACACAGTAATCGGTACTTCAAAGGTGATCAATTTTCTCTCTAGGGTCGGCAAAACTATTTGCTGGTATATTTTTTTAAAAAACTGGGAAGGATTAGCTGTCGTTCAATTGTTTCTGTGCACATCTTCATAAGTTGGTTGATTGTAGGTATCATAGCAATACTGTACGTAGGCCAGAGGTCAACATTAGCAAATTATGATGTAACATTGTACTGTACAGACGGGTTTGTCAATAGGAACATGTGGGAATATAGTTCCTTTCATGGTTGCATTGAATTTCTCCACTCTAAATCCATGATCGTATGTACAATTAAACTGTCAAAAAGACTCGCTAACTGGTATTTTTTGTCGACAATAAGGAAAAAATAGCAATTTGCGACATTGGCGAAGCCCAGGACGATCCCTGCTTTCCGGTATAATTCAGAAAGATTATACTATGTTGCTTTAACAACTGTGCAGTTTATGCCTTCTTGTTGATATTGGTTTTGCCAAATTATTTGGACTGAAAACATCAGATGTTACTTTTATCATGGGCTACACACACAGATGTTCATGTGAATTACTTTGGCTACTATTTTTCCATTTAGGATATAATGATTTACTTTCAAATGGATTGTAACCAAAGTATAGAGTTTGCAGTTCCAAGAATGCATAAGCAGGCACACATATTTTTAACTTTATTTTTCTAGCTCGCCATATTGTAGAGCTTGTAGTATGGCCCTACATGCAGAGTAAATTGTTGAGCATGTATTGATGTATTGTCACATTGCTTTTTGCAACTGTTTTCTCAAAACTGCTTGGCTATTTTCAAACAGGTTCAATTGTTCCTCAGGACATGCTTTACCGAATCAGGATAATCTAATCAAGCAGTGATGTGGCTTCAGTAGTGGCCAAAATGCCTTTTTTCAACTTCATTTGAACCACTTGGCATGTTTTCATCAGACATATTGGGAATGTTTCTTATGATATGATATGTCAATGTTGGGTCTATGCTTGTCCCCTTGCAACAGTGGGACTTAAGGCAGACATATTTTTTTTTCTTGACTGTCTTTATACTTGCTATAGTATTATATCAGTTGGGTTGTACATATTTAACAGGTACAAGTTCTAGCTTTTGGTTTGTAAACTTTCTTTTGTCTGAAGAGTATTATATACTTTTTTTTCGACTTATCTGTACAGGAATTATAGTGTCTTTCTGTCCTGACATGCAATCCCTTTGGCACAACTATTTTTGCAGTTTTTGATGGATTACTATTAAACCCAGAAGTGTATACTGACAAATCACTTTCCTCCTGCAAATTTTACAAGTTATTGCCTTTTGGGCTTGCAGCTGAATGTAGTGGAAGACAACATTTTGTCTTGCACCTGTTTTTATGGCCATGAAACTTTGTTATCTCCTCATGCACACATTGACAAATCTTTGTGCTCCTTAGAATTTTTAAAGATTTATTGCCCCTTACGACTTCAAGCTGCATCCACCATATGACTGAATTTGCTGCATCATCAGAATATATCATGTTGAGCAATCATTGTATATGCTTTATTGTTAGAAGCTATTTTTTTTTTACTCAAGACTCCAAGGTTAGGATGCTAGACTTGTGACCAAAAAAGAGTGGTGGTTTAAATTTTGATTTGGTTTCTTCAGTTGCCTTGGCACTAGTAAACCTGCATCTGTTGTTTTAGGTCAAAAGCAATAACAATAATCTTTTCCTTCATTATTTGTGTAAGCCAATTTTTCCCCATTTAACTAGTTACAACTTTTGTTAATGTTTTTAATGTCTGTAACTAATCACTGAAATTTCTGTTACCTTTGTTGGTTATAACTTGTCACTAAGTGTTGTATAAAAGTGAATTTTGAACGTATTTTTCAGAAGAAAGAAGCACCACAACACAAAAAAGGGAGAATTGAAAGGAAACGTCCTGCAGGTAATACTGGACATTTATCAGATTTTTCATTTAATAAATCAGTCACAAAAGTCAGTCGTTATTATTTTTAATATCATTTACGTGGTGTTTAATTGAGTTTTATATGCTTCATTAAACCATCCAAAAGCTACTGCCATACTTTTACACATGGTAGCTAAATTTTGATAATTTTTCACTCCTCTTATTATATACATATTAAATTGGCAAGTTTTTGTATACATCCAGGCAAGTTAGGGATTGTTTTATATCAGCGAGATGTGTGGTTTGGATTTTTTACGTAGCTTTAACAATTTTTATTAGAGTGTAGCAGTTTATAGTGATGTCTAGCACCGGGGGTATCATTCTGCAGATATGTAGCATCATTGTCCACCCAATCCCATTATCCTGATATCAGGCTGACCAATCTGAATACTAACATCTTTATCCTGATATCAGGCTGACCAGTCTGAATACTAACATCTTTATCCTGATATCAGGCTGACCAGTCTGAATACTAACATCTTAATGCTGAGTGCCTAATGAGGCAGATGTTTGTATAATTTGTTATGTATATGTAATTATTTGTGTTTTGAATTTATTTTTTTTTAATTTTTATTTCATCACACATTGTTGTAAAGATATCTTTATTCACTGGATTTGACATTTTTCCAGAAATTCAT